TATAATAACAATAAATATAGCAATGAATTAGATCTCGGTGAACTTGATGGATGTAGTCTTAGGATACCTTTGCATTATGCAACAATAAGATAAGTTAAAAATACTTTTTTTTACAAATTTTTCCCATTTTCAGTAAGATGCAAATCAACGCTAACTAGGCTCATATCCTCATGTAAGGTAAACCTAAACCTGTCAGGCCTTTTTAGTCAGAAACTTCCCGCAAATCACGGTATCTAAAAAGTGTCAAACTCCAAAGAAACCATACTAATAAATCAGATAAACGCGAAGTAATTCGTTCGAGATACACGCTCCTTTTAGAGATTCCATTGCCGGAATTGTCGTCTCTAGCTAAATCTATTAGGACCATTTATCCCTTCCATCTTATAGAATTCAGCCTCGTTACTTATTGCATATAATAGCATCGTCAGCACAAAAGTAAAGACCATGAAGACCCTGAAGGCCATGTTGCTAGTAATTTACATTTCAGTTTCGTTAATATCGACAGACGTGGTTTTCTTGCTTCTTTATCACTCGCTGTCTACCGATGATGAAACGATTATCCAACGACGTACACGTAATAACGGCCGGCTACGCACAGTTTGCTTACCAATCCCGATGCGATGAAGATTATACGTATTTCATCGACAGGTGGTACTAAATGGTCCGAGTAAATTGCGCACCATAGAGTAAGTATAATGAGTGTATTTTTTATGTATGTTATGAAGAAATGTTTGTGTTATTTGTAAGTTATTTTTTTTAAATAACGCTTTACGCATTTCTTCTCTATCTTTGTTACCAAAAGAAGTCAGTTGTCCCGGAAAAATCTTATCTAATCTACATATTTTCTGGTAAATATTCATCTGACCTTAAAGAAATTCATTAGCTTATTGAACGAGAAATGCTGAACGAAGGTCATCTTTGCATGGAAAGTCGCTCGCTATTTGGGCGATACACGTACAAATAAGACGTGCCCCTAACCTTCTTATATATGTACATGCGGAATGGTAAAAGTGAATTTACTACTATTATTATTAAAAATTTTCAAGAACTGGATTAGCAGACGCCAACCGTTTTATATTGAGAAACTGGTCAGAATAATTAATACGTTTCACCATATTCTCTTTCTAGAAAAAGTGCAAGATGGAAAATTTATCTTGTTATCGTACGGAAAAATGAAACATTGAGCTGATTTTTTCCATCATGGCCACCGTTTTTCTCCTATGTGTTTGGCAAACCACAATGCATTCATCCACTGTCTCCTTGTCTTCTATGTCAGGCAAGATCTAAAATCTTTTTGTCAGGCCACGACTACGTTGTTTGTCCGCCATCTCAGCTTGATTTGCCGCCTTGCTCCTGCTGTTGCGGACTAAGTATGATATCTGATGTTGTCGATGCTACATTGTGGCATCAAGCGCTGCTGTTTTTATTTTGCCAATGCCGTCTACGATGATAGGGTGTGACCTCGGACAGTGTGGTGTGACAATACTTAGCGACGATCGGACGATCTCGGACGTCGATGCATTTTTGTCGTTATTTTACTGTTTGTTATCACTGTCCTTTGCGTACGTTTGGCTCCTTTTTACTCCTTCCAAGTTTTGTTTGATCCAGCGTCGTGCAAAGGCGTCGAAACACTTCAGCTGCAGGCTCCGAACGGTAGGCCGAACGGGAAGGCGGAAAGGCGACGCTGGCTGCGAACGGGCGCAGAACGTGATCAGAGACCGAAAATCGGCATTGCAGTGGCTACCGGTTCGTTGTCTCCCCTTTTTTGTTTCATCGAGCGTTTTTCTTTATTTCTCTGTCTTACGCTTGTACAGCTATTCCGAATGACTTCAGCAGTGACGGCCACGCTCATCGACGCTGATGCAGCCACCAAAAGCAGGAAACAAGTACGACCCGCTCCGCGGAAGGGTGGAGAAGAGGTAAGAAGAAATCGAGAGCAATCAACGCGTAGCCAGACAAAGGATAGAACAGTAGCGTTAACGTTGACGTCGGATGTCGGAAGACGCGGTGAAGGGAGCAGGGAACGAAGCGAAAAGGGGAGTGAAGCGTGTCTTGGAGGCTGCCGCGCGACGCGGACAGAAAATGCCAATTTGTTATGGTTCGACAATATTTGGCAGCTAGCGGTAATCGTTTAGGTAATCAAAAACACCATGGTCGTGACGTTGCGGTCTTCAATAGATAGGATTACACAGGCAGAAGTGGCGGTCAGTTAGCGACATTGAACTCATTAGCTGGTTGCTGTAATGTTATTTCCATGATAGCGTAGTGGATAACGTATTTGCCATAATCGGTAAGCTACTTGAAGCCAGCGGCCTCAAGTAATACCTAACCGCTGAAGTATCGGATGAAAATACGAAAGGTATTAATACTATTTAGCTTTATTCTTGTTTCCTTATTTGATCACACACACTTTGTCTATTTTAGTCTGTCTTGTTTTATTTATTTAGTTAGATTAGAAACTGGTAGACGTTCAGGATACAAACATTTTTACCCTGCTCAAGCTAGGAAACCAAACATATTTTCAGGTTCTTTAAATTATTTAAAAACGACTTCTTCATTTCGTTATTGCTCTCATCGTTTTGGGCGGCGCTTTGAAAATTGAGTTAAGCTCCAATGCTGACCTGGGCTTTAGCCACCAGTTTTTGACGTAGGACAAAGCTTCTTTTTACTAGGAACGAAATAATATGAGCACGTTAACGACTAACTATTAAAACTTCCATTATTATATTTCGTATCGATCAATATCAGTAGTTCCATCAATACACAAATATTAGCCAAGTGCCTGCTTTAACTACTCCCATTTGCAGAGTGCGCAACAAATCAATTCCAAAGCCGCGCAAGGAACAATCAGCACGGGCACTTAAGATCGAAGGAGATGCAGAGGACAAGGCCACAAAAGAATAATCGATTCGGAAGGTTACGTGATGTTTCCGTACAGGGTTAGTGATTGGATTCACTCTGCATCTTCCGCTAAACTGTGGCATTAAGAGCTGAAGAAGCTTTTGGAGTGGCAAATGATGCGCAGTTTCAAAGTGCAGCGAAATTGGGCATAGACAAAATAAGTTTGCAAACGACCAAACAAAACGATCGTTTCATTATTGTTGTTGTTGTTGCTGTTCTTGTTCTTGTTGTCCGCTAGATTTTTTTTGTTGTGTGGGTATCAACAATAGTTTTGCTGGATCCGTTCGTCCTACGAATGATGGAGGAAAGCCGACCTCAACGACACTAGGGAGAAGACCAAAAAAGAAGTGTTATAGTAATGTGGGCTAAACAAGAAATTTCATTGATGTTCCCAATGCTGCTATTGTGTGTTACACTCCTCCTAGCTTCGGAGCGGAGCTCCTTTGCTGCGTCGTCTGCCTCAGTCCGTTATGTTTATTTCGCTTGTCGTGAGATTTCCCCTTCGGCTGTCGATCACGTTTAGGCTGACACGGGTTCGTCCATCGATTCCTGAAGCCGTTCCTGAGTTGACGGTATGTCAATGATGGTGGCCCTGACGTGCGCAAATAGGCACTGAAACACACAGACCGATTTAAGGGCCTCGCTATAGTAGCTATCACGATAACACTGTAAACGATGAGATTGATACGCGAACTAAATTGAGTAGGATGGGTGGGATTGCAGTATTACATGACGATAGATAAGATTGAATTTGCCGGAGCCTACGCACTGCGCAGAGAAGTGGCGCCTTCTTGACCCTGAAAAAGCTTGGCCTATCCCAAGTGCTCTTCGAATAGAAGATTTGATAAATCTGTATTCCCAATATCTTGCCCTGAAAACAAAAAGGCATTTTACTATACAAGCCGAGTTCTGCTTAGGAAGAAATGTCACCTATTTAAAACATGGCTATCGTATGTACACTGAATATATATAGGAACTGTATTTGCTGTTTTGTTTTATTCTACCATGTACAGGATGTAGCTTTCGTTGTCTTAATTTGTACACCGACTAAAGTTAAACTTTTTTTCATACCTCGTTTAAACGTTTTTCGTATGTTAATATTTTCCCGTGATCTAACCTTCACCCGTTGTTTGATGCTAAGTTACAATTGGCAAGGTAAGAAAAACTACCCAATATTTTCAGGAGTGTCGTAAATTTTACGCAGTTCTACTTACAATATTTCTTTAAACATGTGAGGAAGGGCCCAGAAAAAAAATTTAAAATTCATCAATCTAGCTAATATAGACAGTTTTTCCCTTTGCACCTACATTCATATACTGGGTAGATTTGCTACTTCCTACAAAGCTACCCTCAGCGTTTGAGGCTCACGATCAACGAAGGGTTTCAGTCAAGCCATGGTCTAACAAGTTTCAGAGTCTAATTTATGACGTAAATAAAATTGTTCCGCGGATCGTCAACCAGTTCATCGGAAGTTAAACGTTATCGCGGCCCCACTGCAGAAACGTTCCGATTAGCGGAAATCCGGCAATTCGGTTAACAAATCATTTCGTACAGGATAAAAAGGCGTTCTCCCGAGGACAGCGGGCGGATTCAAGCAGGCCTAGTCAGCATGAATGTGTCTGGGTTTGGTTCGCGGTGTGATTTTTCCGGCAATGTGATCATGGAGCAGATGAAGGCTTTGTAACAACGCAAAACTACGACGGCTTAGCGATTTTGATGAAACTGAGAAAAATTAACAGACTGCGGATTATGGCTGGTCTGTTTACGGCCGAATGCATACGAACGCAATGCTTCCGAGACGTGACAATGGCTGTGAACTACGTTTGCAAGACACACTTCTACTGCGAGAAGCTTTCAGCATTGTGTCCTAATAATGATATTATGAGAAGATACAGATAGTGGTGAAAAATTGTTCTTCCATCCATATAGTAAGCAGGACGTTCAGTAACAAATTATGCACTTCATAATGGTATAGATGCTCTCTAGTTACTTGAGGCTATGAAGGAGACCGATTTATTTTCTCTTTTTTTAGGGTTATGTAAAGATTCACCTCTAAAAAAATGCTCTTGTAGGCGAAATGGTACTATACGATCTCCTGTAATATTTTACGATATTATGATAAATGAACGTATTTTCCGGACTATTAATTCGTTACTTTTATTTTAGCATTACATAGCAAGCGTTCCAGCAAGTTCTTTATATTGAAACAGGAAATTGCTCCAAGCAAGCACATCTTTACGTCTAAAGTTTTTAGAAAGCACCGTTAGAAGCTAGAAGCGCTTGTTCGCAAGATACATCACAAGGATTGCAGCTTTTTTTCCTCGTAATCTATGTATCCATGCTAAACACTCCCGGTAGTGTATTACAAAATCACTATATGAACTCGTAGCTTTATCCTCCTAAAAATGTCCCTAAATACACTCAATGTTCCCTGTTCTAACTAGAAAGCAACGTTCACAGCTTGTTCCTTGTGGTTGACCATAGACGAACCCAGCCAGGTGTCTCTTTGTTTGTGACTGTTTCTGGAGCCGCCATTCGTTTGCCTAACTCAGACGGTCTTAGTCATCACGATAAAAATGCCGCAGAACGAGCACGCGTTAAGCCATCGTTGGTTTCTTTCTACTCAGTAAACGTATTCGCGGTATCGGTACAGCCTACTAAAACAAAAAAACCATCAGTTGCCAGAAATAGCGCACAGTGTGCGGGGCTCAAAATCAGCCTCAGGAGCTTTGCCTTCCAGCTGCGTATGAAGGCAACCGTTATAGGATGTTAAAAAATGAGTAACATATGAAAAACATAGAAAAAATAATAGTGTTTGTTGAATAAAGTGGACGAAGGCACCCATCTGAAGGCGTCAAATATTGCCTTAGGACAATTACTTGGGAGAGCAAAGATAGGCAGTGAAGTTAACAGGCAACGTCGACACGAGCTCGAAACTCGGCAATATCGTATAGTGTATTTACCGTTATTCCGTTTGTAAAACTATTTGAAGAGATAAAATATGAGCGTAATAATAACTTAGCAAAGGTATTTTCGGAACAGGTATCATTTACAGTAGAGCCCATTACATCAGGTTATAGCTTCGTAACCAAGCTAGCCAATTGATAGCAGTAAAGCGAATAGGATTGATAGGAACTATACGAACAGCTGCAATGCACTGTATACATGGTTATATTTAGTTGTTGAAAAAGTTCTGACTGTTTATCAAGCAAGATAACTTCGAAGTTACGTATATCAATTCAGATGTGTAGGGCCGGATAGGCCTGAATGCTGATTTGATGGTGTGTTAGAATTATTGAAGTAGCCCTATTGGGACCTAAGATAATGCGCCTTAGAGATAAATAATTTTTTTTTGAAAATTCATTGTATTTTATGGCTTCATAATCGAAACACAAATGCTGGCTAAGCTAACAGAGAAAACCTGTGTTGCCTATGGCCGAAAATTATTATCGGAACAAACAGCCTCATAATGGTCCGGTCACTTTCGTTCTAGAAAATTTGAAAGATTCTCCTCGGCATAGTCGACTAATTACGAGAGATGCTGATGTAGTTATTGCGGAAATTGGGTAGCGATGACGTCGCCGATGATCCGAGCTTCCATCAGGGATTTTAGCCACTTGAAAAGAGTTGGCTATAGCAGAAAGTTCGCTATTTGTGTGGCAGAAAAAAATGCAGAAGAACCTATCTGATCGTATTTTCGCCTATAAAGCTTCATAAAAATGCGATGAAATCGAGCCATTTCTAGAGCAAATCACGTTTCAGTAAATGATATATGGCATTAGTGTGCGAATAAGGGAAAAAAACATGTGCAATGTTGTATAAATCACAGTCTAACGAGGAGTCAAAACGGACGCTAGATGAAGCGATGTTACGCGTCTGATGGAACTGGAAGGAAATTATACGTTATAAGTTGTTGTTGTGTAGCAAAACTTTTGATTTGAACTTCCATTGTCAATAACTAACAAGATTACGACAAGCCATTGACAAAAGTCAACCGTGGTCTTCTACTACGACCACAGACCCCTTTAGCTGTTCGAAAAGAATTGAGAAAACCTAGGTTGGAAATTTTACTTGACGGACCTGACCTAAAATACATTGAGTTTGTAATGTAAGGCAGCTTTCCTGTATATTTAGTTTACTTGCTATCGAAAAAGGCGATATGATCGTTAAAATGTTTTAAATAAATGATTAAGGTAAGCGGGTGTGGAATGTATGAAACTAGCGAAGGCTTTTCCTTAGTTACGGGCAATCGACAAAGGGGCAAGATGCCGTACTGATCCATGTGGGCCGGGAAAATTGTGTTGTTACCTAATGGGCGTATCTACTAACCGGAACGTCCGTACCAGAAACTAGGAACTTTATCTTTTCACGTTATTAGAAACATTCCAATAGCACGATTGCACTGTAGCATTTTAACATGTGTAAAAATTCAATTTATAATGCACAGCATGCTGATAGAAACTTTAACTTTAACAAATCTGGAAACAAGATAACTTTTGTATCGTACAGTATTACTTGATAAATATTACAATACTTGATAAAAATCACATTTGTTCTTCAAACTTAGGGAGTCGTGGTGCTCTAAATTCGAAGCCGGGCGTGGTATTCACTCGTGCTAGTACATGGCATGTACAATTCGTCTGCTCAGGCAGAAGACCAGATGTCTGAACGGAGGTACGCGATCTGAACCCGAAACATTTGCTTGTAGAGGAATGTATATATAATGCTCGATATGATAAATTTCATGCCAGCGTGTACAGCCAAAGCAAATCGTTTTTATTGCTATAATATTTATTAAGGTACACATACTTGAACGTAGGTATCTTGGGTTAAGTACGCGTATCTTGAAGCGGAGCTCAACTATTTGATTTATGGCTAACGAAGTTCCGGATGCAAATTTCGGAGAACTTATCGCACGTGCCAGTAATGGGCTTTTGAGTCAACGGGAACAATACTCAAAATGTAACTTTACTGTTTCTAATGGAGTCTATCTGCAGCTCTCACTTAGAGGACCCTAGTATCAAGTACCTAGGGCTTGAGTTCCACTTGATTATTGCTCCTCACCACCTAAGGTGTTAGGGCTTTTTGCGCGCTCATGCACTTAGTCTCGGCGTAAGATGAGTAGGATCAACAATAGCAATGCATATTTTACCTCTACTATGAATACGAAACTTGTCGTTCACCACGCACTACTAGTACATATTCTGTATATAAAAATACGCGCCTCTGCCCGTGTCCTTCTCAAGTAGTAGCAGTAGTAGTAGTAATAAGTTGCGTGGCAATCACTCAGTCGGTGCTCACTTGTTTGTCTTCATTTGCATGAACTTATTTAAAATTTGCGTGCACTTTCTTCATATAATTTTTATTTTTACGCCGGCATCGTACTGAGTGCCACGTTCGATTTACAATCATAGTCTTGTTTCATTTGCTTTTTGGCCTCTAGGTACACATGTATCTCGTAAGATCAACTCCACTGATACTGATGAGGATTGGCAGGGCTGGGTCTATCTTCTAATATTTTTCCTACCGCTATGAAGTATGGAACTATATGAGCGTAGTTGTGGGTTGCAGTTCATCTTACACAATGATCGAGATCACTGTCACCGTTAAAATACATATATAGCATGATTCATCGTAAAAAGCTCTTGTTAATCGATCCGTGCTACAACTATATACGTATAACATAGCTGCTTATGGACGTCCAGACTTATAAGCTGATTCGACGCTCTCCAGACGTAATTCAGGCCGAACGCATCTGCAAGCGGAATGTCTTCTCAAGCTAAAGGCTATGACCTCCTCCAATGTGGACTAAATGGAAACGAGATACGGTGGGCTAGATATGGGTTCTGAGATCGAAGTCGTTGCAGTTGTTCCATCGTCCTATTTCATTACCCGTTACTTCATGGAAGTTATCCTTGTTGTTCGGATCGGGATCGCTTTCTAGATACAATTATCCTTTTTTGTCCCATTGCACTCTCCCTGATGCAGTTCTCCCATCACCTAGATAGAATAAATCCACCATATTGTTTGAGTGAGTCACTTCGTTACGTTAGTATATTATCCCATTATCTTGTATTAGCAATACGATCGTATTGTTCAGTAATTAAGTTTCCTCGTTTCTAGTGTTTGCTTAGTATAATTCAGGTAACTCACTATGCGGCCAGCGTGGTCTGAATGGCTCTTTAAGCTCGTTACCCTGGTAAACATGAACATACAGGCATCGCCAGTTCAAATTTCAGCCTTGGAACATCGTCACTATGGCATATCGTTACGACGTCGTTTCATAGGTCTGCTGAAAAAAAAACCCAGACAAATTCAGCAAAGTCCACATACTAGATATGGCGGAAAAAACACAACGTCAGGGCTAACGCTCCGTGATGTAAGTTTGTCCTTCGCGTATTTCGACGGGCGGCTCAGGTGGGCCCAATTGGGCCGTGGACCACCTCTTCGATGACTTTTGTAGTTCACGGTTCAGTTCTAGGACGATTTTAACATACTGAAAATATAAACTGCCCAATCAAAAAATAGATATCTTACTATAGCGTCCTAGTCATTTAGTCAAAAGTGTGACAGGCTGCTGTGTCAACTATCCGGCCCTTATTGCGGGTAAATCATCACTGTGGTGACCGGTTAGCCTATCGCAATTATCTTACTTTTTCTGGGTTAAAGCCACCGCAGTTTTTAAAATTCGTTGTAAGTATTAGGCCACCTGGGAAATCAGGCAAGGGAATAACGTGAATGTCAGTATTCTTGAAAAATTTGCCACTATTTACTGGAGCTAAGGGAAATAAGTAAAGCCTAATTTTTTTTTCGAAGATCTAATTTGCGCTTATTGTATCAAGCTCTAGAGGCTACAGGATTTTTAAACTTTTTGTCGATATATGCCTATATGGTAGTAACTTGTTTGTATACAAACTCGTGGTGATCTATGTTTGGATTTAGACATAGACACGCTTCGTCGCTCGGTGGGAGCCAGTTGTATCAGCGAATACTTAATGACTCGAGCAGACGACATTAAGATCGAACGTGTATACACCATGGGAGTTTTTTTCCATCATAAATAATATCTTTTACAAACATTGTATTTTGCCATAGTTTTTAGTTCTAATCAGGCTAAAGACCACTTACTGAGCTGATCGGTGGTACACATATTTAGTTTCATTTAGATTTAGATACATATACAATATAATAAAAGGGACATCGAAAGGCACGTTCGCTTAGAAGGCTGGGTAGAACTGGGATAGGCTATTATCATTGGCCTATCCTTCAGGACTAAAGCTGCTAGATTTGCACTTCACCTTGTTATTCATAATCACATGCTAAGTATAATCTTCTGGATTCAGGATCCGTTGGTAAATACTCAACAAAGATAGACGGCTCTCCTTCAGGGGGAAAGTGTGAGTCGACAATGCAAGGCAGCTTGAAGACGTACTTCTGTAAGTTCCTTGTAAATAAGCCTGTCTGTCTGTCCGTCTGTCTATCTACATATCTGTTTCATGAGTCCTCACGAAGGTACCACATGGCATCGATATCGGCTCCTTGGAAGTTTGAGCACCGATAGAGCTTTGACGCGTAGTTCTGTACGCGCATTCTGTAGAAAGCAAACATAGTTCAGAGCCGGCTCGTTAACACTAACAGCCGAGAATATTCTGAGTAGTAATGCACTTATTCTGATAATAACATTTAATGTGATAATATAAACGATTCCCATATGTACATACTCGACACGGCTTAATCACAGCCATAGCCTGTAGTAGTTTAACACGCTTTCTGAATCTAGTCACACTTGTCGTGTGCTAACCTGACGCTATGTTCCTCGTAGAACAGTTGATTTATACCAGTACAGCCATACGGATATGCCGCCTTATCTCACTTAACCATTTCCCTAAGATTCGTAGCGACCCTCTGTTAAGTACCTCTGCCCGTCGTGTCCGACATTATTGAAAGACTACATTCGAAGATCTTTTGTTTTTACCATAGCTCAGAGCTACTTCAATACGTCGGCCACCACTTTTTTTCCTGTCGCCATTCAGGGGACATTTTTTAATATGATACAATTCGAAAATAGAATAGTACGTGCGTATTTAGGTGTGTCAATTAAAAGCCGATAAACATCACCCACGTCGTGCGATATCAGAGTTGTAGGACGCGGTCAAATGTTACGATCATCTCACATCTGCTGAGTACTAACGTATGTACAGGCGTATCATTTATATTGATGATGGCTAATTAAAGACTGGATCATTACTAAATGAGAACGATGAAGATCAGAAGCCCTGGGTTCCGTTGATGCCTCACGAAGGAAGCAACACTAACACAATGATCGACACCACTAGAGACTCAGGAAAAGGTCGGACCAGCGTAGCAGGCGTTCTTCGGAAAACGAGAGAAAACTTTACGATTGGTGGTTTGACTGTGTAGGGCGGACAAAGTGTAGGGCGTAAAAGTGTTTACTTGTTTATTTCGTTGTGGATGCCCGTTTGTCCTAACAGGTTATTTTCTTAACAGTTCAATTGATCGGTCAGCAAAACCACTAAAAGACTATCCCATAGTACAGATCACAACGACCAGCGCATCAGAGTTTGATATATAGTTACCCAACGATAATAATAATGTATATGACGATATGCATTATTGTTATTATTAATAAAACATGTGCATTTCCGCACAAAGAGTGCTTGACTTAGCCGCGCTGCGCTTCACAAGAAATGGCCACTCTGAAAGAAATGAGAAACATGTGAAGGTAATACACCGCCAGCCTCAAGCACAGTTCATGCCTTCGCGCTAATATGACGATGTTGACATAAGGAGAGACTAGAATACAACAGTACACGTGTATGCCTGACCCAATATGAGCTGAAAAGAAAGGGAGCAGCCGTAGCATTGTGCTAGATTCGCTTTCTTTGTGCTCTCCCTTGGTCACAATGTGGTCGACCCAATCCCCCCCCCCCAAAAAAAACGCTCTTGTGGGTATACGAGGCAGCGTATGTATAAGAAAGCACTGGTAAGGCAGCAGTCGTAAGCGCATTACTGCTTTTGATTCGACCTGCTTCCTCCGTTTGCACCTTCCGTCAGCATTTCCGGAAGATTAATTAGGCTTGTCTCTCAGTAGATGAAGCCACTAGCAAGGGCTTTTCAGCCCCTATCGTGCCCTGAGTCCATTGGCAACGGAAGCCAAAGTCGGGGTTTTGCGAATTATGTAGCCTATAGCAACAATGACGTTTGACAAAAGCTCGAACGTAAAATGTAGCGTTGTCTGCGATTTATAGACTCAGCTAAAACCGGTGGTAAAAATCGGGGGTGACCGTTGATGACGCAAACTTTCGTTTCGCGTGCAACGTATGATATTGCATGATTTGCATGCTTGCTTGAAGGAAGCTATGAGAAAGAGAGCTCAACAAGTGGGATACTAGCGTATACAAACTGAACTTAAGTTACTTTGTTAATTCATGAACATAGATTATCTGTAGAATGTGAGATGCTCTCATTGGTAAAATATGTTGATGTAGTTCGACAATTGCTACGCCAAATCTAAACAACTTACCTAAACAATTTACAATACACATATAATGCTAAATTCACACGGTGCCACTGATGATGAGAACAATAGTTGATAATTATTAATTATATAGGCTTTTTTTGATGCTAGTGCGGCCGATCCGGCTTGGAATACGGCACCCATTTCTCGCCTCCGGTTAACGTTATTTCGGCAGACTTGACCTTAGGCACTTTGCATGTCCGACTAACAACATACGCAAGCGGTCTTAATAGGAAAGTGTTTCGCTCTCGCTCCTGTTTTCAATATAAACGAAAAAAAAAAACTGTAGATTATTCGTCGCTATTCCTTCCGCCATTAATCATACACTGTGATTTCTACCAATTACAAAGCTTCGACTAAGACAAATGAAAAGCTTATTAAATAACAACTGTTTGTCAACAGCGCATCGTAGTTAGTGCCTGTAGGGGTCACGCTAGCAACCCGGTTCGTCCGCTAACGTACACGAGAAAACATCATGAGCCCCAAGGCGATCACTTTAATTAAATTTGCCCTAATTAGCCACTTGTGTTTCATTGGTCCGTTCTTGGCGACGTGAAAAAGCATTGTAAGGGTCTCGCACAATCCGCAATGATGAGAAAGACAGTTGGACAATAGACACAAACCCAATCTGGTGTCGTCGATTTTGGCCTCTCCAAGGACTGAATGGGTCTTCACTTATACGACGTGTGCGTATTCTATCCCCTTGCTAGCGATGTCCATCAGCGCAGTTGCATTCCCGCAGATAACCGGGGTCTTGCAGGAGAGAAACTTGCAACTTTCATTAGAATTTAGTTCTATGAAATTTTTCCAGCTTTTGAGATGCATTCGTATTCGCTACAAATCATGTTACTGGATCTTCTTAGCTGTTCAGATCTTAAGAGGCAGGGTACAACCAAGTACCTTGTTGTATTTCGTGCAGCTTTTGTTTTTAGCTGCGGTGCTAATTTCATAGCGACATGTAAAGAATTTAATGGCCAAACTGAAGATACATTAACGTATCGTATTTTTACATTGGCTGTAAAGAATTTATGCATATTGTCGTCAGCGGCATGTCCAACGTGCAGGATATTTTTACTGCTCGATCGGCATATGCTTTATATGATCAGAATCATTTATTATTAGAGCTAATTATTCATAGTAGAATCGAGTGTCACCATGATAGTCATACAAAACTCGGTGCCGTTAAGTGCGCACATCTTTCTATTTCTCTTTACTTTTTAGAGAAAATACAATTTCTTCATATGCCAGTATTTTGGCTATTAAAAACCCCATTTCACAGTGCACAGCAGAACCTCATGTAAAACTGTGTAATACAAACCATAATCTGTGACCTACTTCACTTGGCGGTAAATTGTTATAAAGCATCATTTTTTTTTTTGGTCATAATGAGAGTCTATTTTAAGGAAAGGGTCATTAGTGGCCCATATAGACCCATTCTCCTCTAGAAAATATATACGTATATATGTTGTTGTTACGTTAAAGACAAGCTATTACATTATATCCTTCTTACCCATCGGAAGGATTTCAGTATAGAAGTTGCTATATATTTTTACTAAGACTAGGTTTTCAGTATAGTCTTAAACTTCACAGTCAAATTAATGAAACAAAGCAGCACACTTTTAACTATTGGTCCAATCATCTAGATGCGTGCAGTTCGTTGTGGATTTTTTAATCATGACAAGTTTTTGAAAAGTCCGCTTCGTTGGCTAACGCGAACGCTGTTTTACAATCCTCCTATACGTCCCCGCTCTTCCTATACTCGCTTTAGGGAAGCAGCATTTCATAAGACAAAATCTCCGTCTCGCAATATCCGCTTGGCCCTCTTTCAATGACAAGCGTATCGAGTGCGGCACAAGATAAGTTTACGTTGATTTCTTTATTGAGCGAGGTTTGCAAATACTTAAGGTTCAAAGATGCTTATCAAGGTTTGTTATTTTCCAGGACCGCCCATCAAACGCTCCAAAAAGGTTGGGTCCGCAGGAGTATATGTGCTTTTCAAACGGTAGAAAAATAAGACCGTTTTGAGCGTGTTCAATATGGCTTGAAGCAATGATCAACCGCGCTAGGCTGACAAAGGTGCTTATAGGACGATATTAGACTCTCTTTGCGAGATTACGGAATACGTAAGAACCCAATTACTTAGTGGAATACATGTTCCATATCACGCACAGGAATTACATCACTGCCACAATATACAACAGACGTCTGTGCGTGTTATGCATGAAATATGAAATCGACGACACATTGATTGATATATCGTTCGTTGGATACTAGCTAAAAGATCCAACGACATGTTATCTTGGATAAGATTGATTCTTCACTGGAAGATGTTCAGTGGCAAGACTCACCGCACTGCAGTATAGATGGGTCCTAGGTGCAGCTTTGCTTGCAAAGGATACCCACACTTCTGGAGACGGACGCAGTTGAGACATCTAATGATAAACGATTA